GACAAAAAGTCAAACCCAAATACTCACCAAATGTCAAGGAAGGAGAGGAAAAACAAATCTTATCTGCATTAAACAGAAAATACAACCTGTTGAGGAACAGGGTTTACTTTTAAAGTTTGCCGCTCTTAGAATCAAAAACTGAGACTTTCCTGCCTGCAAAATGTGCATAGGGTTGTTGAAAGGTCCCTGATGAAGGAGGGTGAAAAAGCAGAAGTGTAAAAGCTTTAGTGAAGCACTCCATAAAGAGGTTTACTTTCCACTGCTTGTGGTCTTGGGTTCACAAGCAGTGGGTTGAGTTTCAGACCACACAGGTGTTTGAGGATAGCGGGTTTTTGATCTTAGACAACTTAACTCTTTTAACCTTTTTTAATTAATCTCATTTTTAAGATTTTTTTTTTCAATAATCTTCTGAACCTGTAACACAAGACTTTGAACTGAAAAAATAATAAAAAGTACGTTAAAGTTAAAGAGAACCTCTAAGTTCCTTTTTTCCTTTTTATTGCTTCTGAGAATAACTATGTGAAAACTATTAAAGATTTCTTCAAAAGAGACTGCCGCGTGCCCCCTGAGAGGGAAGCTTCAGCGCATCCTTAGTGCTCATACTCCTGCTTCAAGTCAGGAATGAAGCCAGTGAGCGAGGTGTGGAGGTGCAGGGGCCCATGGTAGCAACCGGACAATTCTTAAGGACAGAGAAACGGGCCCGCTAGCCGTGTCCCAGCGATCCGTGAGTGCTACAGGTGGCAGATTAATGAATGTGCCGTCGCCGACGGGAAAGTCTCAGTTTTTATCTTTCTTCACTTTAGACGCTTCTGAGAGCTAAAAGAGAAAGACCTTCGTCCTCGGCCTCCCTCATCAGCCCGTAGCCCTCAGAGAAAATATTTAAATGCGGCTGCTGTTTAGTGAAAAGCTGGCTTGAGTCCAGTTGTTGCCTGTTGGTAAAGGCAAAGAAAAACTCTGCCAGTTGTCTAAATTTCGCAAAAGTGTCAGAGATTGAAAACCCACTATCCACAAACACCACTTGTGGTTTTTTTTTGGGGGGGGGCGGGTTTCTTGTGTGGTTTCATAACCTCATCAGAGACCTTTTGGGGACCTTTTTGAACTTCCTTGCGCAGAATTGAGCTTTGCGGTCACTCCAATCTGCTCTCTTTTACAGTGATCTAAGCATTATTGTCAACAATCTTCCTGAACAGAGCCGGTCACATCCACATCTTATTTTTCCTTTTCCTTCCTTTTTTTAAGTTCCTGTCTTTTATACCGAACTAAGACCTTGTTAATCAATCAAACACACTTGATTCAAACTCAACAGAAACAATTAAAACTCACCAACTGGAGTTACAGTTGCAAGTTGTGGAGAGGAATCAGCAGCAGACACAAGTTCTTCTGGAGAAAAGACTTTTATTACGGGTAACAAAAGCCAAGTTAGTCTGAAGAGCAACTGAATACAAGAGATTGGCTCAATTTATACATTTCCAATCTAAATAATCAATAGAGCCAATACCATTGTTAAAGTGTAACTGCACCCTTCAGTTCTGCTAGCTCCCTCTCTCATGGGGAAGTTGATCATGATGATCGAGGAGAGGAGCACCCACTGGTTCTGATGTAGAAGCCTGGTGCACCACCTGGGTGTAAATAACATAGGGCTCTCAACTCTTACCGACAGGTTCTAGCGGGTCCTAGGTGTACACCCAGCTGGTGCACTCTGCTCCTGGTCGTGTCCAGGGGCTACAAACATGGCCTCAATAAAACTCAAAAAAAAAAAAAAAAAAATCAAACAAACTTGGGTTGAATCCAACTGTGGCCCTTTGCAGCGTGACATCCCTCTCTCTACCCCCTTTCCTGTCTATCTTCCAGCATAGTCCTAATAAAAAGGAAAGCTATAGGTTTCCATGCTCACCTTGAATGTTTTCAGAAAAACAGTATGTAATGTGAGTATAGTGGTTTAGCTGGTAATAATTTGATAGGAGTTTGACAAAGGCAGACATTTTTTCCTGGGGTTGAAAACAGACCAAGCACTGCCCCAAAAGTTGCATGTGTCACTGGTGCATATGCCATTGTGTCATTGCTCTGGCTGGTTGATAAGATCTATGCAATTTGCATTCAGAGCAAGCAAATTTGGTCTGCAAAACCATTGATAAATTGAGGGGAAATTAACTGACTAATTCACATTAGATCTGGCAGATAACCAGGGTTAGTTCAGATTGAATTAATTGATGTGCCTATACCGAGCCAAATATTTATAGAGAATAATAACCAAGCTATACATTAAGTAATGCCACCTCTCGATGTTTTCCTTGAGCGTGCAGTGTGTTCCTTGGAAATCAGATATCCACTTAAATTTGGTGAGGCAGACCTAAAACAAAGAAGAAGAAAAAGAAGAAGCAAACTTGCATCAGCAACAGTATAATTTAATTTAGGGCGACATTATATTTACATGGAGACATGATGTACTTATTTCAAATGAATGGCAGTTTTGTTGTTCATGGTACAATAGCGACACCTCAACTACTTTTATCTTCTATAATTATGGTTGGATGGCACCACCAAACAGCATAACAGGCAGATTAGGGATTTAGGAAACTCAAAAGCCCAGTGAAACAGTTACGGCAACGTAAGAGGAGAAAGCATACGCTGTGATTTAAGTAGGGGAGGAAGGCCAGGTTGGGTGTTGTTGGATTTTTATTTGGGTTTGACAGTTTGGATCTACCCTGCAGCCTGCCTACAAAAGATTCCAATTTAGATTCGCATAATGGGAAATAACAGAGCTGTGGGTTTGCAAACACATCTCTTGTACCTAAGGCTATGAGTCACATTTCTCTATTAAAAAACATCTCAGTGAGCAAGCGTTGACGTACTTGGTATACTTCATAACTGGATCTCTGTGCGTTTTAGGTTTAGTTTCTCTCCCACGTCCCTGTTTGACTTTCATGTTCCACAGGAGTCCCCCATCTCATAATTGTACAATGGAGAGCAAATGCATGATGCACTGGACTGGTGCGACGAGTTAAAAACAGGAGTTGAATGAAAGCCTGAACTGGAAAACTGGGTTAGCTTAAACTTGACTTTTACACTCGGTTCCCCTAATTTCATCAACAAGCGGTTATATCTACTCTGTTTTCCCTTTCTTTGTTATTGGTTTAAATTTCTCCCTTCTTTGGAAGGCCATGACATAATCCAATCACTTCATATCTGTGTTGGAGATATAACATTTTCCATCCAGATAATTAAGCCAATATTAAACCATTAAACCATTACTTTTATTAAGTGTTTGATTAGGTTCGGTAATGCTTTGCCGTCTAGCAAACAAAAGAAGGTGAAACCAAACAGGAAGGGCAGGCTACATTGTGTCTTGGTCATGATATGGTCTTCGGTGCTGCCTGATACCAATATTGGCACTGGGTCATTGGATCTACTGTACATAT